ATAGTGATATGTGCATACCGATGTTTGTAGCAGAACAATTCACAACAGGAAAAGTATGGAATTCATGTATTGGTGTCCATCAATGGATGGATTAAAAAAATGTGGTAAATATACCAAATGGAGTTGTATTCTGTCATAAAGAAAAATGAAATTGTCATTTGCAACAAAAATGGATGGTACATGAGGCCATATATTAAGTGAAATTAGCAAAACTCAGAAGGTAAATGGTCACATGTTTTTCTCAGATACGGAAATCAGAAAATGAAAATGGGAAAAAAAGATGGAGAAAAAATATCATGAATATCTTAAGGGAGATCAGTAATGTTAAGGAAAGGGACAAAGGGAGGAAACAGAATGGAGGGGACAATACTGGGGAATGGTATTGCCCAATGTATGCTGTGCACAAGTATGAACATGTAACAGTAAATTTCACCACTATATAAAATTATAGTACACCAATGGAAGTGTGGAAAATAACTGTGTCTGATATTATTATCAAAGATAGAGGTTTTTCATCAAGGTGGGAAGGAGCCAGTCCTGGGTGCCTGACATCTGACATTCTCACACCACCTGCTCATGCCTGAGTCACACCCTACAGAAGCTGGAGTGTTACCTCCAAGCTCAGCTATGGCTCATCCAGGAATTGTCCTTAATAGTGAGACTAATGCACACAAGACTTGAGTGACACCGGTGGTGGAGTGGACTCACAAGGTGGCCGAGTTAAGGACCCACAGACATTGATGAGAGTAAAAATGATGATAATGAAGAGAAAACTCAATCTTGTCTATCTGCCCATTTGAAGCAATCCCATTAATCTCTGAGCTCTTCCATCTTTACTCAGGTCATTTGCTCCTCTGTTTTTATCTCTCACACTCCTTCCCTCCCTTTCTTCATTCCTTTCTAGCACAGGATGTCCCAGTTCAGTCTCCATAACTTCTTGTAACAACCATATAGAAATCAAAGCTCAATGTTAGACATATTTATTTATATTGGAGAGTCAAAATGCTGAGTTGTTTTCAGTAGACAGACCCAAGAAATACATTTTCTAAATGTGTTTCCATTCATATATAACATCAGTTTTTATACTGCATTTTATTTTATGCCAGGGTGTACCATTTGGCGGGTAATTTGAGAAGACTTTGATTTGTTTGATATGATTGAAATGCAGAAAACAACCCAGCCTTCAATGACCTTGGAAATTGAGAGTGACCCAGAAAAAGTTTTCATCCAGATGGGGCTTGTTTACCATTGTCTGAGGATGAAAGAAGTATTTGTTTTTGCTTTGGGGACTTCTCTCTGCCTACAGAAATACAGGTGCTGTCAGACTTCAGATGCAACACCAAGATTAGCAGTCCACTGAGAGAAGAGCTTAGGCTGTCTGTGCCATATAACCTCATCTGGAAGTTCAGCTCCAAATCAGAGTGGAAGATGAAGCTGAGGAGTGCCTGAGTAGGCCCTGGAGGAAGGAGTTGTAAAATCTGCCTTTTACTACATCATATCCAYGACACAGGTATTTATTCCTAATGTGCTGCAGCATTTTATGAGCTTTTGTAGCATTATTATTTACCTAAAATTTCATAGTATTACTTTTAAGTCATATTATCTTTATTCATAATGTCATAAGAATTACGATCTTATGAATAATTTTTATAACAATACCCACAAGTAATAATAATTCAAAAGGCTGGCAGCTTCTAGGTTCACAGTACTTTCAAGAAAATAAAATGATTGCAGTGCAGTTTTGGTGATTTATAAGATCAAAGAAAAACCTACTAAAAATCTATCTAATAAAATTTTATATTTAGTAGTCACTTCAAATCATGTGTAACGTGTGTTTACAGGGAAAAAAATCATATTGCTTTGTTTCAAAATGTTGCTTGCTTCACTATATCTAAAATTTTTATCTTCGTCTTAAGTACAACATATTCTTCTAAATTGATGCTTGCATTAAGCTTTTATAAAATGTCTCAGGAAGGGAAGAGGTCAGAAAATAGAATAAACTTAAATTTGTAACAAAATAAAACATTGTTTGCACGGCTTGACATAGTGATCATTATGTGCCACAGGCCTGTATATGTGGCAACAGTTTACATGTCCTTCTGTTAGAAATCATTGTTTCCTGATACCTGACATTTATCTGGAAATTCCTTCTTCTCGCAGCTGGTCTCTTAGTATTAGACTAATGGTCTATTAGCTTTAGACTAATTCTTTACTAATGTATAGTCATTAAGAAAAGACATAGAATTTAACACCAGAATGTTTAGCTCTTTGTTGTAGATTCACTGCATTATTTATAACAAATAAGATAAATCTATAACAATCTAGGGAAAACTATCTTATCTTTTCATCAAAAATATTTCATTTTGTAAAGAACTTTTTGCCACTCATACCTGCCAAATCTCAAATGGTGATCTTTGCAATTAAAAACTTCCTTTACAAAAATATTTTCTGAGCTCCTTTTCATTCCCATCACTGAATTATCACAACTCCACACTTTGTGAGAGAAAGTTAGCCATCTCTCCAGGGGATCAGTGACTTGGAAAGAGAATAAGTGGTAACTGAATCATCAAACAGGAGATGTTTCTCGCCCTGGTTCTGAAACATGTGAATCCAGCCAACAATACAGGATGACAAAAGTTTGGGAAACATGGATATATTTCCTGAAGGAGACTCAAAGGCCTGGGAGCCTATTTTTGCAAGATCAGGTGTCTCCCAGGGCCTCAATAAATGTTCTGCTAAAGGCATCTTAGGTAAGGAATATTCTGGCATCATCGAAACATAAATTCACATGGGAGATTTCCAGTGTTCTTAAACTTACTCATTGACACTGTCCTTTTTACTCCTTGGTGATGGATGTGCCAGTTACAATTTGATAGGTTGGATTGGACAGGTCCAGATACCAAGGCCTAGATTCTAGTTTGAAATACTTGATTTCCCTTGAAAATGGTTGCTACATTGCATTTATTGAGTATGTATGCAACCTCTACTCTTCTAAGGAGAGAAAAAAGAACTGATCATTTGTTTCCTTGAAGTCTCCAAACCTTTGTTCTTTTCTATAAATCATATCTAGGCTCAATGTTTGGGTTTCCAGCTTCTTTTTGTCTTCTATTTATGACAGAGCTTCTCTTTTTTACCTTYCCTAAGCCTGCAATACTGTCTACAGTTCTACTTCACAAATCACACCAACACCCTAGGGCAGGAGACATTATTACAACAGCATAAAAAATATTAGCTCCTCCTTTCACTGAATCTAGTTATTGAATCAAAAGTATCTCAGGAGCTTCATGCAGCATATGGTATATGTACATGCCACTCTGGGCCCATTTGGATTCCCTTGATTGAGTCCCTTGCATTTCTCTGTATGTCTTTCTAAAAATTTGCCTTTAGTTCAGGACCATCATGTCAAGAATCTGTACTCTAAATAACTCTGCCTTCCATTAGAAATGTATCATGATAAAACTGAGAAAATTTTGATAGATTATTAAAAATTATTATTCTGCCATTCTTACTAACAATATGGACACTCAGGATTATTGCTACTTCCACAGTATTATACAGATCAAAACTCTTAATTAATTACTTATGTTAAAGCAACTGAGTAAAATGCCTGGATTTAAATCATGGCCCTATCATTCAGTGTAATTTTTACCCTTGTTCCTGCAGAACTCCAGATACCTGTTTAGAATAAATTAAGGAGACGTGAAGAACTCAATTCTTACACAGGATCCTCTGAACATATTTCAGGATATGACTGAATACTTTGTGTAAGTCATTTTCCTTAAAGGATGCCCAAAATCATTCTGAGAAAGGATCTATTTTCTCTTCTAATACACAGGTATGAGAAAAAAAATGAAATCCTTGAATATGGCATTTATTTACTGATAATTGAGAAAGAGGCCCTAACAACTGTCTCCACATAATGGATTTTGAATGTGGAAATATCTGAAGTTCTTCCCTGAGAAAATAACAATTGTTTTTAAACTTAGAATTCCTCGAGTATCCAAGGATAAAAGTATGCCAGAGGAAGCCAATGTTATGGTAGGCTTTTCTTCTCTCAGATATGAAATATTTACTGTGCTACATAAACTCTCCCAAGCCAAAGTTAGGTGGTGATAAAAAATGAATAAATAATTAACACTGTTATACTACTCCATACATGTCAAGCATTTTCTAAATGATTTTCATATATTTACTTATTTATTCCAAAAATGCTATGAAAAATGATTTTTCCTTATTCAATTTTGTTCATGATGTTAATTGACTGACAATGTTCACCTACCTAATAAGTGGAGGGCCTTGGTTAAACAAAGGCTGCTAGGTTCAGGATACATATTACTAAATCCCTCAGGGTCCTGAACTTCCATAAATAAACCATGAGAATGGGTCCCTTGAGACATTGCTCCTGGAAGATTCCTATCTCCCCTTGTCTAGGATATACATCAAGAGTCTTTGGTGAACAATGTCTATATGGGCAGCACTGATTTGGATCTTCCAGATAGAAAGTTAACTGAGGAGGTATCTGCCCTCTTATCATAAATAGGAAATTTGCAGGGAAAATAGGAAAGTAACTAAATCTATCCATCAAATAATGTAATTAATGACATCCACAAAAGCACAGAAGGTACTACAAACTTTCACATAAATATATTATATGGATATACCTTGAGGTGACAAGTAGATTTTTTTAAAAGTAACTTCTTAGAGAAACAAGTGATGCTGATAAACATATTGACTGTAATGTAGTGGACAGAACCCAGTGCTTCATGAATGTGGGCCAGCCTGCAACCCAGAGCCACACCCCAGGCCTTGACTTGATATTAAAATTAGCAATCAGAAATAGTCATATTTACATAGAACTATTTTGATAAATTATAATTCTAGAAAAAAAAGTATGAGTTGATAATTGAAAGCCTGTCAATAAAAATTCGACTGCTTCCACACACACTCTACTGTACTAATGTATTTCCTTTCAGAAACATTTGCTCTAAAATCCCATGAAGATGGACCAACAGTTCAGTTATGTTGCCATAAGAAATGCCTTCTATACCCAGGCTGCCATTGGGATTGCAGCAAACACCTTTCTGCTTTGCCTCCACACTGCTGCTGTCCTTGTGGGCCACAAGCCCAGGCTCACTGACCTCCCCGTCACCCACCTGGCTCTAACACACATCCTCATGCTCCTCACCATGGGCCTTTTGGTATCTGCAGACATTTGGGAAACACAGGACATTCTAGGTGACTTCAAATGCAAAGTGCTTGTCTTCCTGAACAAGGTCATGAGGGGATTCTCCATGTGCACCACCTGTGTCCTGAGTGTGCTTCAGGCCATCACCATTAGTCCCAGTGGCTCCTGGTTGGCCCACTTCAAACTGAAATCCACAAATCCCATCCTAGCATTATTTCTTTTCTTGTGGGTCCTCACCATGTCCACCTACAGCAACCTGCTTTTCTACACTGTGGCCACACCGAATAAGACCCAGCCTGGGCTTCTATTTGTCACTGAATTCTGTTCCTATCTGCCCATGAGCCACATCCACAGACCATTCTTTCTCACCTTGATGGCATGTAGGGATGTCTTCTTTGTGGGCCTCATGGTTCTCTCCAGTGGGTACATGGTCCTTCTCTTATACAGACACACACAGCGGTCTCAGCATCTTCGCAATTCCAGGTTCCCTCCAAAATCCTCTCCAGAACAAAGGGCCACTCAGAGCATCCTGCTGCTGATCTGCTGCTTTGCCATCCTGTACTGCGCAGACTCCCTCATTTCAATGGCCATAGGCTTGACATGGACTAATAATGCCATCCTGGTGTGTGTCCAGATGCTTGTGGCCAATGGCTATGGCACAGTCAGTCCTTTGGTGCTGATCACAGCTGACACTCAAATAACAAAAATTACTCAACTTACATGTGGGAAGAAGAGTCGCCTTCTGACAAAACTTATCTAGAGTATTTTTCTACTCTTATTAGAAAAATTTTCTTTATTTTATAAAATATTCTCTCTGACAAATATTGATTAAGCTAGGATGCCACACTTTCTGTTGTGTCAAAATAACATATCTGGCCTGTGAATATTTTTTCACTATATTGGCATCAGGGTCTTCATTTGCAGTTTAATAAACTTCTGCTATTTATTCTATTTACTTTTGGTCTCAGACCTTCATTCTGGGCATATTTTCTTTCTTCCTGCATTAYACTTCTTAAATGTTCTTTAAGAGAACATCTATTAGAGGTACATGCTTCCTTCCTTTGCTTAAAATTGCACACATTAAATTGCACTCACTCTTAAGAATTATTTTGAGCTAAGAATGGTGGCACACACCTATAATCCCACAAACCTGGGCCATTGATGYAGTAGGATCATGGGTTAGGACCCAGCCTCAGCCAATTTAGCAAGACCCTGTATTAAAATACAAATAAAAATAATTGACAAATACAGCCCTGGGTTTAATCCCCAATACCATATAAAACATAACCTTAGCTGGGCAGAGCAGTGGTGCACAGGTATAATCCCAGCTACTCTTGAGGCTGAGGCAATAGGAATGTGAGCTTATGTTCACACTGGTTTACTAGAGACAGGGTTTCAAAAAGTAGCTGTGCATGTAGCTCAGTGGTAGGGCAATCCTAGGTTCAATACCTCTACCAAAATCTAAAACTAAAACCACAATGAAATATCACTTGTCACCTAGTAAAAAGGTGAGAAAAAATTATTGGTAAGAATATGGAGAAATATGAATCCATAACCAATCCTGATAGAAATTAAAAATTATGCAGTAGGCATAGAAAATAGTTTGATCTTTCATTAAAAATCTATATATAAATATTTTTTTCATTAAAAATCTCTATATACCATTTCCACTTCAAGGTGTTTACCAAATAAACTGAAAACAGAAACTCCAGCACTTGTACATGAATGTTCACAGGAGCACCACTCAACCTAGCAAAAAGATTAAAAGTATCAAAATGTCCACCAACAGATGGATAAATAAACTATGATGAGTTAGAACACATACACGTAAGGTAGATTATTATCGACTTATAACAATGAGATGCTGATACATGCTACAACATGGATGAACCTCAAAAATATTAAGTAAATCAATCAGACACAAAAATCACATATTTTATGGCTCCATATATTTGAAATATACAGAATGTGGAAATTCAACAGACAGAACCAGAAAAGATGGTCTCAGAAACAGAGAGTATGTGAGAGTAATMACTTAATGGATATATGGTTTGCATTTTTAAATTGTGGTAATTTAAAAATCTGGAACAAGATAGAGGTGGTGAGTTCACCACAACACAGTAGAGGTCAGTAAATTTCACGTGTTATTTATCTAGCTACCGACCTACTTATTTATTTATTTATTTACTTATTCATTTTGCAGTGCAAGTATAAACCCATTGCCTCATTGTGTGATAAACAACCAATCTACTTCTGACCAACCTTGTCTCCACTAAACAGAATATTTTAAATGGTATTGGAATCATATTGGTTCTCTAATGAAAAACATCGAACACAGATATGCAAGATGTAAATAATAGGGAAAATGTGTGGGGAGTAGGCATATGGGAACTCCCTTCTATATATTAAATTACCCTATAACAGTAACCCTGTTTCAGAAAAACCATGCCTATCTCTAAAACAAAAAAAGAACACACTTGGGGAAAATCTCAGAGTTAGCTGTGAGTTATGCCTGGATGGCCCTCAATCGGTAACAAAGATGCCTTTGTCCTAGGAATTTATAATCCACAACAACACTGTCTTCTTTTTGCTGTATTTTCCTGTGATGTTTTCTTGGTCCTTTTATGTAAATAGAAAGTCCCAGGGTCCATTTTCAAAATATAGTGTTTCAGCTTTAGTTCCAAAATCATTGAGGAAATGAGAAGATCAGCCAATGAGGAAAGAGAACCAATGGTTACCAGGGGGTTACATCTGAGTATGACAGATTTACAGCCCCATGACAAACAGGAGGTGAGGGAAATGCTTGACCCACACAGATCTACTGTGAAGGCCTTCCCTCCATAAGACAATAAGGGAGGGGGGACCACCAAAGGAACATTTCTTAAAATACTCCAATAGAGACAGAAAACCGAAGCAACGTTCAAGAAGACTGTATGTCCCTAGTACTCACCACTGTGGAACCCAGRGAAGGACCTTGTGCACTACTGACAAAGGCTAATTGTAACTGCTCTAGGTKCGCCCCTCCCAGGTCCTACAAAACCATATGTGAAAGCCTCACTTTTATGCTATAATTTTGTGTTTTTCTGTCCATCCTTTGGGATGAGCACTTGAGCTTCTTTCTCACACTTACCTACCAACTAGGTCAACAAATCTATTGTTACAATTTCCAATATCTTTAGAGAGGACAATAAACAAAGGCCTTATGAGGGAAACCAGTACCTTACATACCCAAGGACATTGACTCAGTCTCCACTCAAACATGAGTAACAATTATCTCCCTGAACTATAGCCAGTATTTCCTTAAATACCAAGGAAAGTTTGTTCAAATGTCACTTCATTATACTCAGGTTGAAGAGAAAAAGATCTGGAATACCATTTTTAAAAGTCCATCTGAGAGCCAGGTGCAGTGTAGCACACCTGAAATCCCAGTGGCATGGGACATTGAGATAGGAGGATTGAGATTTCAAAGCCAGGCAGCAATTTAGCAAGATATAAAAAACTTTCCCAAACCCTGTCTCTAAATAAAACATAAACACTGTTTTGGGATGTGACTCACAGATTAAACACCTCTTGCTTAAGTTCCAGGTAACAAAAAAATTCATCTCAAATCTACTATATAACAAATAAAATGACAATAATATTTTTCTAGATACCTGACAAACTTTGAGACAAATTCAGTAAGATAATTTATGTAAACTAGTGTGTGGAACATATTAAAAACAAGTAATTGTGCAGAGCTAAGAGGAAAGTTCATTGCATTAATTTAATTCATTAACAGAATAATAAGTCAACAAATAATGACCTAATATTACATCTCAAAGCCCTACAAAAAGAGAAAACAAAGTCAAAAGTAGTAGAAGACAGGAAATAATTAAAACCAGAGCTAAAATCAATTAAATTGAAACAAATAAAATGATTGAAACTGTTGATAAAACATAAAGCTTGTTCTTTGAAAAAACAAATAAAATTTATAAACCCTTAGTCACCCTAATGAAAAGAAGAAGAGCAAGAACCCAAATTACAAACATTCCTGATGAAAAATGAAATATCACAACAGTACTATTGAAATATAGATGATATTAGAAACTATTTTGAAACTATATACTCCAATAAAATAGAAAATCTCMAGGGCACTGACAAATTTCTAGAGTAGAGACATATGATCTGCTCAAACTGAATAGGGAGAACATACACAATTTAAACAGATCAATTTTAAGCAATGAAATAAAAGATAACATCAAAAGCCTACCAACTAAGAAAAGTCCAGGACAAGAAGGATTCTCAGCCAAGTTATTCAAGATTTTTAGCGAAGAATTAATACCAATACTCCTCAAATTATTCCATAAAATAGAAAAGAAGAGAATACTTCCAAACTCATTTTATGAAGTGAGTATCACCTGATTCCAAAATCAAAACAGGCATGTCAAGGAAAGAAAGTACTGGTATAGTGACGCCTCCTCCTTCACTCTTCTTGCTAAGGATTTCTTTGGCCATTCTGGGTCTCTTATTTTTTTCAAATATATTTCATGATTGTTTTTTGTAGTTCTGTAAGTARTGTTATTGGCATTTTAATAGGATTTTAATGGGTTTTTTTGAGTAGATACACTTCAGATCAATATGTCTGATGAATGTAGATTCAAAAGTTCTCCATAAAATTGTGACAAATTACATACAAAAATGTTTTTAAAAGATAGTGCACCATGATCAAGTGTGGTTCATCCCAGGGATGCAGGTTGGTTCAACATAGGGAAATCAATAAACACATCACATCAATAGATTAAAGAGAAGAATCATATGATTATCTCAATATATACTGGAAATCATTTGACAAAATGCATCACCTCTTTATTTTAAAAACACTAGAAAAAATATGGGATAGTAGGAACATTGTAAAATCCATCTTTGCTAATCCCAAAGCTAACA